TTAGACTAACTCGAACTGAGCTAGAAGGATCTTTTTATTGACTAAAGAGGTGGAGTCTTCTATCAGCTCCAACCAATAACGTAAGATTTTAAAATACCAAAAATGTACGTAAAAGGGCCGGGTAGGGAAAAATTGGAGAAAGTGACGATGACTCAAGAGTCCGTTAAAGATGAGTCATAAAATAAGTTCGTTAGACATATAGCCCTTTTTTGCCTATAATTCTAAAAACATCATAAAACTAATTATTCAAAAGAGGTTTTCTAAAGGGAAATATTCAAAAGCGTTAAATTGAAAGGAAAATAAAAGGACAAAAAGGAAAGGAAAGCAATTTGTGAAAGTAATAAAATAATGGCAGCGAACAAGGTTTATTAAGAAGGTTTATCAAGAAGGAAAAATATGTTGAAACTTTCTATGCATTTAAACGTGACAACGGTTACGTTGGACGTAATAGCGTAATAGCATTTCTTGTTTGAAACATTTTTTTCTTCGGCGTACAGATTCTTGGTAAATCGATGTTTTCCATTTTTTCCCCCCTACGAGGGGGGGTTTTAGGGGGAAGCCCGAGGGTAGGAGTGGCAAACTTTTTTGTATCTTTTTTGGGGTCCAAAAATTGACATCCACAGCAAAATCCAGCTAGTTGGTCGCGTTTTTAGAGGTCAAATCTCTGACGACTGGACTATGTGCGTCGGTCGATTTTTGTCCACAAAGAGAACTTTTCCACTGTGCGGCGTCGCAGCGACTCTTTGCCGTCACATAGCGAAAATAGGTGCTTGACCCCTTTGACTATACATATACAAATGGGCTGCCAGTAACCAACTTCAGACGTGTCCTCATTGAGGACTCTTCAAGCTGGAAAATTAGGCTCCGCGTGCCGAAAAATTTTTTCAGACTTACAACGCAACTCTAAATTCCAACTTGTGATATTCTTCGCAATCTTATTTTTCACAAAATTTGATTTATTAATATTACATCGTTAAATTTTAATATAGATATGTCTTTCAACATATTATTAAGATCCAATAAGATGCTATAAGCATCAAAAATTGTTAGATTGTTTGTCAATTTAACTAAAGTGATATTACTGCGTTAGTTGTTTAGAGTTGCGTTGTAAGACTGAAAAAATTTTTCGGCACGCAATTGGGGGAACTACATACGCGCTATATAAAATTTACATATAATTATAATAAGCATTGTGATCCAGCTTTGACCGTTATTTGGCTCGCTTCGTGCTTCTTTCTTTATTCTTGTTATTGTTTATCAATTGTACGGTCGTAAAAAGATTCTAGTATTTGGAAATATAGTACATTGTGTAACAGTGGGGGATATTTGTATATAGCGCGGCCGGGCGCGAGCGCACGAGCGAAGCGAGTGCGTACTAGAGATCCTCAAGTAAGAGATGCGCGATCTGAAATCGCTACTGGATTGGTTGATGGCGACTTCGCAAGAATATGGCGCAACCAATGGCGCAACCAATGGCGCAATCGTATTATATTCCTACTTACAAGTATAACACCATATGACACACAAGTTGAAATACAAACACATACAAGTATGACACACACATGACACAAAGGTCGCCATGTTCTTGCGAATGCTCGAAGTTCGCGCATCTCTACTTGAGGATCTCTAGTGCGTACGAGCGCCCGTGCAGACCTGTAAACAAATATGCCCCCACTCGCTACACATAGAATTTTTCATTACAAGTGCTCGTCGTAATGTGCCCTATATGATACAGCAACATTTTTGCGCAGAAGAGTGGAATTAGAGAAATAACTCAACGGCTTGAGGTATTGGCTATTTACCACACGCAAAAGCGTTGCGGTATAGGGCACATTACGTGCACGCGTGATGAAAAATAGTATGTGCGACACGTGCGAGTTGGCAACTGCCAAATTCTCGCACTTCTCGCACAATGTACTATTATTTGCCAAACCTCGGTTATTTTCTATGTAAACTACCGGCGCCTCGCCGAACGAAGAACCAGCGGAACATCACCTGAAGAAAGCTACCATCGGAAGGAAGAAGGGCGAATGAAAGCGAGCATTCGCAGAACCGTGGCGTACCGGTGATGAGAAGAGAGAGACGCAGGCCGCTTCCGAGCTTTGAGAGAGGCGGTAGTCAGGACCGTCGAGGGCGTCCTGCAAGCCCGTGCCTGGGCCCGAGGAAAACAAGGGAAAGTCGGAAAATAAGGGAGAGTCGGAAGTCTTACGGAGCGAAAAGGGAGCACTCGGAGAAAGCGCGATCTTGACAATGGGAGCTGTTACGTACCTTAGAGCGAGAAGGCGAGCGATCGAAGGCACCTGCTAAGCAAGTCGACGAGAAATGAGCTCACGTAGCCACCAAACACTCCACAGGACTTTGCGAAACACAATACTGGGCGCTAAGGGTCGCGAGCGACGTGAGCCTACTTGGCCGCTGAAAAGTTCGACGTAGCTGCGCAATCTTCCGAAGGGGATGTATTGATCGCGCATCGATTGATCGTCTACCCTAGGGATGGGCAATTTTTCAAAATAATCGATTTTTCGAATCAATCTAGATTTCGATCGATCTCAAAAACTCCAAAATCGATTTACCTAAAAATCGACTGCAAAAAAATCAATTCATCAAAGATCGATCCTTCGATTCACTCGATAAAAAAAATAAAATTAATGAGAACACATAAATACACAATTATTAAATGTGTACCATATACATAATTTTTATCTTATTTTATTTTTTTATTAATTACATTGCATTACATTATTAATTAATTTTTAAAATGATTTTAATGTTTAATCTTTTTACAGTCTGACTAGTAAGAGCGTATCAGGCTTATCTCAAAGAAAAATGGCTGCCTTAAATTTATATTGATTGTATTTGGTAGGATTATGGCCAAAATGCAATTATATTAATAAGCAGTCCAGTCACCAGCTGCGCCCTTACGGAAAAAAACTATTGGTAAATGGTGAAATGGCCAATAGTAATTTGGCCAATAGTTAGTACTGTTGGTGAATAGTTACTATTGATCATTAGTTACTGTTGGCCAATAGTTACTATTGGTCAATAGTCCCTCGTAAAAAAGGTCAGTTTTCTCTAATTACTGTTATATTGTTAAAATAAGTATTTCTAATTAGCATCAATTTTAGAATAAAATCGTGAAAAAAAAATTTTCCTCGAGAAAAATTATCCTACATTCGAGAATTAATTTTTTTTGATGATGTTTCCCAAACGGTCACCCAACCGAAGTTGTACCACGAACGTCGCTGCTTAACCTTGACTAGAGACCCTTTTAGGGTCTCTAGCTGGTATGCATTTGCAAACAGCCAATCACGATATTGGTCACTCGTGTTCAGTCGGATATAATCGGACGTCTCCGGATACTCGGTCGGCCTGCCAAATACATTAAAAATTTTCGATAGTTTACGTACAAATTTTGTAACGAAATTTATAATAAAAGTAAAAGCAATTAGTGAAGTGAGTTATGGCGCTGTGTTTTTACAAAAAACACTGTTTTTATCCAATACTCAAATAAATAGCCGGGAGCTAGTTTCTTATATGGCTAAATGGAGTAAATTTAAAATAATTTAGTTGCAAAATTAAGATGGTACAACAAAATAAAATGAAAAATTGAATTATTTACATTTTTAACTTCAACTTTATTAAGGAAAAAATAAGGACCGAATGGGATTCGAACTTCCATATACATCGATAAAAAATTCGACGCTTTGTTCGATTGAGAAATGAAGCATCTTTGAAGGAGCGATAAAACGAAATTAATGACATTATTAATGTCGTTAACGACATTCTGCTAACATTTTACTTTCTGGGGACATATGTTATCAAGATGTGAAGGTCCTGATAGTAAAGCCTGCGAAAACAGACTAGGTGCAGAGCCTGTTGAAAATTTTTGATTGCAGATTGGCAACAAATTGTAGACATGTATTATCAGATATTGTTAGCAAACTGCTGCTAAACTGCTAACAACGTCTGCTGACATATTTTGCGCAACTTGTAACTATTAAAGTTTGCATAAACAAAACAATAAAATTCAACTTCTAACTCAATTTGTTTGAATAGATCACAAAACTAATTGACCACCATTAAACGTTAATTAAAACGTATTTGCATAATAAATAATTGTAAGCTGTTTGTCTCTTAAGTTTGTTCTGATTTATTGTTGTTCCTTATTTCAGAGGCTACAAAATATTAATTACGATGAAATGTTTTTTATTATCATTTAGTTAAAGAATGATATTTAATGTTATTTCAAGAGAAAATGACGATTTCTTATCATTCAACTATGCTCCAGTGACGATGTAAAGTTCAAATGCGGTATTTGTACGTTTGAATCTCAACACCGCCGCGGGTTGACTCTGATTGGTTGTTTGCCAGATTTTACCAAGTTTTCTCAAAATGGCGGTCACCCAACCGTCACACAATTTTATACAGGGAATGGTATCCTATATCCTATCGTCAGCGATTGATCAGATTTTCGATACGCTCCATGGGATTGCACCCTGAGGAGATAACTAGTAACTTTTGCGGCCATCCGGTGCGGATTACGGATTGCGGGCTGTATGTGACGGCACCTTTAAAATGCTCAAGCTCGTGCGGTGATCACATGTGTGACATGTATCGTGTTCATGAACAGTTCTGAATTGTACTTGCACGCCTTGCACGTATCCTTCGTGCATTTTTATTCACAAAACTTCTACAACAAATAAATCCGTATTAAACTAAAGAACACATCAATTAAGCATTCCTACATATTCTTTTGATCATAAATAAACTAATTAAAATAAACTAATTAAATTCAACATAAATTTACATACTCAACGGCTTCATTTTTACAATTAAAGTACGTATGTAAAAATGCGTAAATTTGAAATAGCCGCGTTTTGCGTAAAAATGGATGCGAGTTTGCGGTTTATAAATCTAGTGACTTTACTTTGTGTAAGTTTGTGGCAATTTGTGGACTAGTGTCAGATGTCAGATTTTTGTTTTTTTCTCTTAAAATTACTTTTGATCAATTACCAATAACCGATAATATATGAGATTTTGAAGATGGAGAATGGTATCAGTAAAATACGTGACATATCGTGGAGATTTGGAGGTGAAATAATATAATATACTTAGGATTATAAACTGAAACTATCGCTTGTTATCTTATATTCTTAGGTTATCCATGTTACATTAAACTCTGAACGTATTACATTTTTTAGATTTATTAAATAAAAAATTAAAATATTCTATTTTTTAACTGTTATATATTAGTGATATAAAAATTGTATGTATTTCCATTTTAAATTTTACATTCAAATAATTTCAGTAGTAAACAATTATATCTCTATATAATTATATCTATATAATAAACAAAATAATACAGTATAATTTGACACAAATGTTATTTCCAAAATTGTAATCTTACATTATATATATTCTCATAATGCGCATGCACGTGCGCGATGTTAATTTCATTAATGAATAACCATGCTAATTTTTAATTCTTTTAGTGACTACAGCTAGTAATGATTCTGATAATGTTGCAAAGTCATTTCTACAACTCAAATTATATCTTGAGGATGATGGTATAGTCAAGAATATATTTACTGAGATGACAATAGGACAATTTTACAAATTTTTACATGATTTGGAAAAGGCAAAATGTAATCTTGATTTGTTACTGTAAACAAATATATGCATATTAAGACATTATATATATATATGGAAATGTTGCCTGTATTAGGATGTTATATTTAAAATTCAAGCAATTGTTTTTTGAAATTTTTTTTATATATTTTCTTATAATTTGTATTATTTAAAATATGAACATTTATTATTTTAAGAAGTTAATTAAAAAATTTAATTTATTTCTAATAAAATAGTATTATAATATTTTAAATAACATTCTTTAAATATCATTTGCCAAGATCAAAACCTTGATATTATTCTTTTCAATAAAATTAATATAAACTACAATATATCCCAGCTTATAAGTGTAGGGAACTACAAATACCTATTCGGAATTTTACTTACAAATTTTAATTTGTATAAAATGTTGCTCTATGTGTGGGGTTTGAAGTATGAATAGAAGAGAATTTTTCTTCATAAAAATAAAATTAAATTAAATAATTTTAAATTTTTTTTATTCCAATATTATAATTATAAATTATATTTATAAAGTGCAATCCAATTTTATTCCTTATATATATTTTTAAAATTTCCATCTTTTATAGTTGCAGTTTAGTATAATATATTTTTATATATTGTATATATTTCAAGTTCATAAATTTTGTACAAGTAATTAAAAATATAATAAATAAATAAATAGTAGAATTTAAAAAAATTTTATAAAATGCTGATCAATTTTTCGTTTGCACTAATTTTTATTATTATTGTTTTAAGTTTTGCAAAACATTTTCTTTTTTTAAAAAAACGATGTAGAAATAAAGTTAATATATGTGTCATGGATCACATTACAGACGTTAATATATATATAGTACATATAATAAATATATATAATAAATATATGTGTGTATAATAAATAATGATCAGGTAAGTATCTAATTGATAAACATAGCTTTTTTAATACATCAGCAAATATGTTTACTGTAAATATGCATCGTTATGACTATACTACAAATATTTGATTAAACTTAATCAAAAAATTGGAATTAAAAAGTTAAATAACTCTCGTACCTTAAGAGATTGATATTCCTCCTTTTTTTAGAAAAATATATACAAAATTTCATACATTTGTATCGCTTTTTGATTAATAAATCGTTCTTCACATAATCTTCATATCTTTATACTTATCCAGTAGTAAAAGAAATATAATATGTACAATTTATTATTATATTCTTTTGAAACAATTGTGTTATTAATATCCGTCCAAATTTTCATACAGCCTTAGTTGCGAAGAATGTATAACCTGAAAGCAATATACAAATAAATTTTTTGTAATCAAATACGAAAATCTTTCTATTCGTGAAATAATGAATGTATGTATCATCCATAAATACGTATATATTTATAGGTGCGATAGGTTTTATAAGAAACAAATAAGTGTGTGTCAACAGCAAATACAAAAGTGAGAAACTTTATTTATTTTTTTCAACAATATACATTCATGGTTAACCATTATTTCTCCACTTAACAAAATCATATAGTCACAATTTGGAATATCAAGAAGTAATTCAACAATCAACATACTATTCTTTGTAGCAATAAATGTTTTCATATAAAAAAGAAAAAAAAATTAATATATATTTTGTTAACTAACAATAAAAAATTTATATTATGAAATACTTATGTACATTATTTATTATAAAATTTGTAACATTTCCATAACAAGACTAAAATATTTAATGTTTATAATCTGTTGAATATTTATTGATGATATACTATTTGGAATGGCTACTCCGGCCCAATTATTTTATACTCAATTCTGCTACACATACTTTACATGTATTCTCTATATAATTTTATAAAAGATAAAATGTTATATATTTTATTTAAAAAATGAACTGAGTCATAAAGTTCGTCACTTTAATACTGTGTTATAAAATACTACTACGAATCAATGAAAATGTTAATGATGAGCCGTATATCAAGCACATTCCAAGCAATAAATATATCAATAAGCTATCTGTAACAGCAATAACACGACGATATTCAATCTCCTGGCATTTAAAATTCTCTCATTTGAACGAATATGTTAGAACAGATACCCGTTTGGAAAAATTTGGTCTTGTGAAAAGGTCTTGCGACAGGATTGACTGTTCTAAAAGCCTTGCGCCTAAGAGGAAGTGGACTAAATATAGCACCTCTTTGATTATTAGGCTCTGCTAATACTAGTGCAGGATTTGTTTGATTGGATGATGAACTTTCTTGTTTCAGTGCGCCTAGTTGCAAGGACTTGCCTCTTTCTGCTTTTTCCTGAATAGATTCTAACACAGGTTGAATAGCACCAAGCAACGGTCGTTTGGACGGTTCTGCAGACCAACATTGTTCCATTAACGTCCAGCATTCCTCGTCAAAATGTGACAATCTTTCAGGCCTAAGTCCTAATGTAAATACATTCATGTAATAATAGACGATACAAAGAAAGATTGAGACTAAGAATAATGATATACATTTTTTGCGGAATAAAATTTAAGAAATTTGTATTACATAAATTATAATGTGATTGTTATTTATTGTAAAATATAATACGAAATTGATTTTTTTTTTTTTTTTTTTTTTCAGAATGAATGTATGTTTATATAATAATATCGGCTCAATCTTTCCCTCTATATAATAAAGTATTACCTTTCCGTACACTTGTCCATAATTGCTCTTTATTATGAAATTGTTCAAATGCATAGGGTAATCGAACCTTCCCAGCACATATGTACCAAAACAAGATGCCAAAGGCATAGACGTCGACACTGCTATCATAATGGCCAGACAGAAGTTCCGGTGCCATGTGGATCGGTGTTCCTACGATACTACCCGACATCATTGCTTCAGTAATACAAAATCCGAGATCGGTTAATTTAGCTCTGTTTTCTATATCAAGTAAAACATTCTTTAGTTTGATATCACGATGAACCAGACCTTGCGAATGAAGATAGCGTATTCCTTCCAACACATCTATTGCTATTTGTATACGTTCAAGCCATGAAAGTCCAGCGTGTATACCACAGTATAAATCACGACTTAACCGATCAGTAATTAAGAGAACTGCGGTGCCCAATCCGAATCCTCCGCCGTACGATTGATCAACAACAGATCCGCGAAGCTTTACTATCCTTTTGTGGTCTGGTATCGACCTGGTATAGTAAACTTCCATTGCGAGATCGTTCCAATGTCTCTCGTCTGGTGGAACAACGGATTTTACCGCGCATGGACCCGGTGCTCCGCCCCAACCATCGCAAGCGAATACTACACCATACTGTCCTCTGCCAATCTCTTTGTTGTAATGAGGAATGTCGAAGCGAATCGCATCCATCATCGATGTGGACTCCAATGCGAGTTTAGCTAACTTAGGTGCATGGTACTTTCGTATAGCTATTCTCTGCTCCTCAGTTCTTTCTAGCTTTCCCGAATAATAATTCTCTAAAGATTTTAAAGCAGTCTGGAAAGCGTCATGTGATGATTTTAGTTTGTCTCTGAATTGCGTGGAAATTGTCTTTGCCAATCTTGCTGCCGATAAAGAATTCAAGATATCGACAGTAACTTGTCTCCTCCAAGCTGCGTTCAAAGTCGGAGTGGGTGTCCATGGCAGTGGTAAAGATTTGAAGAGCTGTCTCAATCTTTCCAAGAACGAATGCACTAAAGATGGTGACGAATTATGCAATTCTACATTGTATGCTGCAGAGAGTATTTGTTTTAAGGCATCGCTAGCTAGCAAGCTGCTATCGTGTTCGTAAGTTTTTTCAAGACTTAATAAACAACGTTGAAGAGTCCCAATGAAAGTTTCTCGAAGACAATTGACCGAATTTACGAGTTCTTTTGCAACTTTCTCGCCCAAGCGACCTAACACGAATCGTTGAACTTCTGATGTCGCGACGCGAACAGTAACCGTCCACTCTGCTCGTTCACTATTATTAAATGGAATAGTCTGATACTGGAAAATATCACCGGTAGATTCTAATATATCATCTTTCATCTCCTGAATAATACATTGTATTAATTCAGTCAATTGCATTTGCTGCTCGTTAACAACCTTCATTAGACTATCGTAAAGTTCATTTTCTTTTCGTTGAGCATATTGTATTCTTCTAGGAGTGATCTGTATTTTCCGTGCCATGTCAAATGCACTTAAAATAAATTTACGTAAACTGGTCGTGTGTATTTCATTCAAATACGTGCTTGCATTAATCAAATAGCTTTGCAAGCAGGCTCGTGTAAAATGCAAAATGCGATCCGTTTTTTTGCATGAATCCACTAGATCGCTCGAATTATTAACGTATTGCTCGCCAACAAGCCACGTTAATTGATGAACTTCCACAGACTCTTCCATTCCTAAAAATCCTAAACTGCTTAACTGATCTAGCCACGTTAGACCGAGTGAATTCATTTTGTCAATATTAATACTATCATCACTTTTTGACTCCTTAGACACACTCAACACTTCTATCCGATTTTGCAGACTATGCTGCTCGGATTCAGTCAATTCTGCATCTGTGCCATCCAACAAAACGTTAGCTAATGACGATATGAATAAAATTGGATTATAAGGGTAAGTCTCTTTCAAATCTCTCAATTCTTCCAAGTTCTCCTCAGTCAACTGTTGTTCCCCAAGAGCATACAAAAAGATAGGTAAAATTTTTAATAAACCTTTGGCAAGAATTTTTACTGCACCATTATTAGGAACAACAAATATTTGAACACCTTCTTTCAGTATTGCTTCATCTAACTTTACTTCCAGCACTGTAGGACAATTGATATCTTCGTTCATCGACTTTTCCAGATCTTCGAGAGGAAGTGTGCTCCATGACTTTTCGTTTGCCTTTAACGTCTCGACTACTTCGTATTCTAAACCTAACGTGAGACTGACATGATTTGTATGACCATAAGTAATCTTGACCCATCTCCATAAATCGTTGGACAGTGGCAAAATATCAGCAGAAAGTAAATTATTGACCAGCGAAGCTTTGGCTTTATTATCTTGCCCAAAAATAATTATTGCAGGGGAATTATCAAGGATGTGTGTCACTCT